AACAATTAACGTCAACAAATTATAAGTGCAGAAAAAGGATAAAAAAAAAAGTTATTATCGCATCGTCGGTGTTGTAACCCTATATTTTGGTATTAGATTATTTTAAAAGTTTATCAATTATTATTGTTATTTATTACATATTTATTTCATATTATAATAATTATTAGTTTATTATTAGTGTGTTGTTTATAATTACAAAAAATGGTTGGTTGATATTAAATACACTTGAAAGAGTAATCTTATATAAGTTATTATAAATGTATTTAAAATAGGTTATAAAAAGGTTAAATAATTTCACGGATGATTTAACTCATAAAATTAAAAATTAATAGGGTAGGTACGCCCTACACGCCATTGAATCAGATTTCGCAGAGCAAACACCAACAGAATTTAAACATTCAAACACACAATATTAATATTGTTATTGTATTATTATCACGAATCCGGAATCAATCGGTTTTCGTTTATTCTGAACATGACGTAGTAGTTTCGCGTTATGAACAATTGGTCATCATGTTAAACTATATTATGACGACCAAAGTAAATTTGCAGACATGAAAGGCTCTCAGATCAAAATAGTACCTATATGCAGACATAATAATATACTTATAATAGGTACATGTTTTAAAACGGATTTTAAAACGGATACAAATATCATTGGATCATTTTCATTTTGATAAGTTTCACGGTGTAAGATAACCTAAATTTCGGACCATTATGGTATCCCATTCGATTGAGTGAAGTATTGCGTAAATTAAATTCAATATTTTTGTGTATTGAGTAAAAGTTATTAAAAAACAATCGTTAGAAGTTATAAGACCTGTCATAATTATATTTGTGATGCCATTATTATAAAACTGATCGTAAATTGCTGGTAGAATTTTGTTTTCGTATTTCAAACAATATTTTAATTATTTTGATACGATCGACCGTGGCACAACTTATCACAATAATAATTACAGATGTTTATATTTAATTAATCAATATGTATATGCATATATAAATGTGAAATTAATTTTTTACAAACGGCTAATCTAAGAAACTACTGGACCGATTTTAATACATGTTATATCATTAGATTCTTTAAGACTCTATGGAGGTTTTAAGCTTCAGTTCTTGTATAGGATGCTAATGAGTGGCTAAGACAGAAATTTATACGAAAGTTTGCCACTTATGGTTATAGAAATAATAGATACTTTTATGTAATATATCCAGCGAGCTAAGTAAAAAAAAAAAATAAAATAACTTCAAGACGGTGTGTGTATAGTATATCGAAGCAGGAGTTGCCTATTTAAACTGTGTAAAATACAGGTAAATTTGTTATACGACAAACTAATTTTTAATGCATCAATTAACTCTTAGTAAACTCCAAAACATCAGAAATGTTGTGTAGAACGTGCTTCTGTAAAAACCATAAATATTTTACTTTTAGAAATTAAGTTATAAATGAAAAATTGCGAACTTTTTAATGGAAATTTATATTAAATTCAGAATCACGGTAGCCGTCGTCGTCGTCGTCGCATCGGCGTAGGTACCCAATTTTACCAACAATATTACTGTTCTTATAGATTATTGTGTAAATACTAAAAATTTAATAACGATAAAAATTAATGATATCACAATAAAAACCCTTCGTAAACTACGTGGAAAAATACCTAAGTGAAAAAAAAATAAGATCTTTAAACACTATAAATATGTGATATCATGAATAAATGCTAAGTATATTGAATTTAAGTAAACTTATTTTTAAAACAATTATAAGTTATATTTTAATTGTCCTTTGCCATTTAATTATTTTGTTCATCACACTTTATTTCTTTTAAGAAATAATTCCTCGCCAAGTAAATAGATTATTGAAAGAAAATAAGTTTACTTAAATTCAATATACTTAGCATTTATTCATGATATCACATCTTTATAGTGCTTAAAGATCTTATTTTTTTTTTACTTGGGTATTTTTCTACGTAGTTTACGAAAGGTTTTTTTGTGATATTATATATAAATGAATGTACCAATGTTTGTAGATTATACCGGGTGATCCATTCAACGTAAGACACTCATTATTCAAATAATCACTAACGTTTTTTAGGTAGGAATATTTTTCACATAATTTTAAGTCTCTAAAAACAAAATTTCTCTACAAATATAATAATATACTTATTTTTATTTTTAATGTAATAATAATAAAAAAAAAAAAACAAGAAGTGTCAGAGGTGACCCTCGGATGAGGTAAAAACATAATATAATATGAGCTTAGAAGTATAGATTTATTATGTTGAATTTGAAATAAATATTCTTAATTTAAACACGTGCTTTCATAATATTATTAATTGTAGAATGGGATTGAAAATTTTGAAGAATTATATTTGTTCAAATTTTATTTTTCAGAACACTAACTACAAAGAGATAACTTTTAATAGAATAAAATAATTACATAATTGGTAGGTACGGTACGTACATATTTACACGCATGTATATAAAAGTGAGAAACTAATTGAACAAAAAAAAAAAATTAATTACTTCTATAGAAAATTCGCTCAACACGAATTTCGATCTCGACCTACCTCCAAGGTGGACGCCCAGTCCGACGACCGAATTTGACCGTTAGTCTCAAAAGAATTTTCAGTATTTTTCGACAAATTTGAAAAACCAGTAGAACTACAGATATAAAAATCGCCTCTCCTTTTAATAATATAATAGGTATTTTCGTTACGCAAAAACGATCAAGTTCGAAAATGTTCACTGCCCAAGCGGAAACATCTGAACGTCATAAGATGTTTTCAAATAAAAATAAAAAATAATGATAACACACATTTTTAATTCCTTATTTCACAGTAGAATAACAATTTGAGATACTTTGATTTATAAAAATCTAATTTTGGACTAGTAGTTTGTTATTTATAACTTGTAATAGTATTTAAAGCTTAGATGAGCGAAGTGGAATGTTACAGGGGCAACCCACAAAATGTTTTTCACTACTCAACTCTTCTAAACTTCAAATACTTATTAGTTATAAGTTTATAACTAATAATCTACTTGTCCAAAATGAAATTTTTATAGATTGAAATACTCCGAATAATATTCTGCTTTAGATGCTAAATACATTAAAACCATAGCAAGCGACTCCATATTTTTCCTCCACACGGAAAATCTATGAATCATAAATATGATTTTGTTAATAATAGTAACCATGACAACAAAAACCTTTCGAAAAATCGGTCAGAAACAAAAAATCTTGTATTCAGCTCAAAAACATACGTAATATGTATGTTAAAATGTATGTATTGTCATTCAAAAAAGTAAAAAAAAAGTTAAAACTTAAATTACCTCGATAAAAAAAAGTAAAAAAAATTAATTTTTCATACATTTAATTTTGCACGCAACTACTTAAAATTATGTAAAATACATATTTTAAAAACCGTTAGGTAGTGTTTTCTGAAATAAAAACTGCCTTTCGTTAAATGGATCACTCTGTATATTCAAAAACTATTTGACTAGTTTTGATACGAAGTACGAACATTTCAAAATGTTCATGGAGAACCCTAGTAAGTTTAGAGAGTTGTAGTTTGAACCACGTTCGAAAATATACCAAGTCCTATTTCGCTTATATCCAAATCACTACAGGCAGATTACCCATGCCTGTCGAATTAGTTTGCAAAGCAATGTACACGAATCGCGGAAAAAAAGCCCACGGAAAAAAAGCCCAAGGAAAAAAAGCCCAGAAAAAAAAGCCCACGGAAAAAAAGCCCAAAAAAAAAAATACACTGAGCAAAAAAAGCCCACGGAAAAAAAGCCCAGAAATACATAAATTATTATAAATTATTCATACCTTCTACAGTCCCGAAAATTAGAATCCTTTCTTCGGAATTAATACCATTGTCAAAAATTAAAAAAATTTCATACTCAGGATAATATAAGGATTTATAATATAAATTAAATTAAATGTAAAAGTGCTTATCAATAGTTGGGTAATAAAAATGCAATTTATTGACAGGTGGTTCATCAGTTCATGGCAGTATCAAACCCTCTATATAATAATATACCTTAATAATATTTCTTAAATTAAAATACATTAAAAATTTTCAATAGTTATATATTATGTATAAGTCATATTTGAAATTTTAATAATTTCTTTTATAAAATTACCTATATATGCCTCTTATACAATTATTTATGATTATTATCTGTTATAGTATAGTAATGTATTATTAATATATTATTATATTTTGTTCACATTTATATTTATATTTTTGGGCTTTTTTTCCGTGGGCTTTTTTTTCTGGGCTTTTTTTCCTTGGGCTTTTTTTCCGTGGGCTTTTTTTCCGCCTACCATGTACACTAATGCCTATTTTCCAGTGAATTGAGGTAACCGAGATACACCGATATAGCATCGTATTTTATATTTGTTAATTTTTTTCCGGAGCCAAGGCGTGTTATACAACTAGTATTATAATATAGGTAACTATAGGGTATTAGTAGATATCTAAATTGTGATAAAAATTGGTACTTCTAAATATGATTACTTAATCGAACTATTTCATTCACTTTTGATTTATTAGAGTATAAATGAATGATATTATAAATTATCTTTGTTTATTGAGAACACCGAAAATCAATCCGAAAAATTATAAAAATCTTATTTGAATATTAGGTACATTTATATTTCTTTGGTTGTTATTGAACAGCTATATGTGAGTCGTGATTGGCATAATACAAACGACTGCATAATTATGATCTTATTCCAGCTTATCGATACTAACGTCTTATCGAAATGTATTTTTAAGGGTAAATATTATTATTATATAACAAAGACGGGCCCTTCGTCGTCCTAAAATCGATCCCAGTCAGAATTATTAACAGTAGGATAGGGTTCTGAATTAAAAATCATAAACCACTGGACCGTACACACAGATCGTCAATAAAAAAAACGCAAACCATCGTCTTTAGTGTTCATATAGTAAGGTCCATCAACACAACTCTACGACCTATCGACATCATACCTATATAATGGTGTTGGCGTCGTTGAGCCCGGCACAGATGAGCACCGTGGTGGCCGTGGTGGTGGTGGTGTGGTCCGCGGCCCGCTTGGCGAACGTGCTCATCTGTACGTTGCCTATGGTGGTCGAATCGTTGATGGTGATCCGATCCATCTCCCGGGTGCCGTTCTTCCGGCGCATGTAGCCGTTCTTGGACTCGGTGACCGTGCCACCCTGCGGCTTTACGATCCACCAGAACAGCTGCCGGTCGAAGTGTTTGCGGAACGTGCCACTGACCAAGTAGAGCGCGATGGGATTGATGCACGAGTTGCTGTAGCACAGGCAGAAGCCGACGATGCGCAACACGTGCCAGAACAAGTTGTACTCGTCCTGGGACTTGGGGTTCAGGTAGAACCACAGGTTGAACATGTGATAGGGCAGGAAGCACACTGCAAACACCAGCACGAACGCCATCACGGTTTTGGCCACTTTCTTCCGGGCCCGTACTTGGCGCATCTGTCCCTGCAAAGCGAGCGAATCGAAAAAAACAGTAGTATAGTGTGTGCAGTAAAATAATACAATCAATTTATTAATATTAATTTTTAAAATCCAAAACGTAAAACCGATTCCTATCGACGCACATGGTTGACACTTTTTAAAACGAACCCTTATTACAATAATTTATCACTAGTTTTGATATATTATTTAGTTTTATCTAAATCGAGTATAATACTACACCACTAATTTGATTCTCTTTGACATCGTGCGATTCGATTAATTTTTAGTACTGTACTAATTCAAAGTAATAATATTATACGGCTGTAATCCTGAACGTACATGAAATGTCACCCTTAGTTCAAATTGTTTTTACATTTCTCATAATATTATATTATCGCACCACTTAATTTAGGAAACCAACGACAGAAAGTGCTTTTTTATTTTCCTATAAAGTTGTAACAAACCCAATCGATTCTGTTAGGGGATAAAGTAATAAATTATCTAACAAACAACATTCATTAAGAAAAAAAACGGGAGGGGGAGGGAGAAGTTATCATAATGACAATTCTTTTATTCATATAATTTTACATTGTTAGTTACTTCATTCTATTTTATTTGTGCGTGTTATTATTTAATAATCAATTTATAAAATTAATATAAATATATTAATCAACTTTCAAAAACTATATTGTGAATTTATGTCAATTTTTTATTTGTTTATAGTAAATAAAATATACGTTTAAGTTTCAGAGCCTGTCACAAACATCGGTTCGATTCGACGGTAAAATATTGTATTCAGCAGAGCTTATCATCAATTAAAGTACTCTTTTATATTCTATTAAATCAACATTTAAATTGAGTTATGAAACAGCGTATATTATATAATTATTGTTTATATATAAATATGTTCACTTATGAATTCTAAGTGAATCGAGAATAACTGATGTACTGATTGTGAATAATAAGGTTTTAATATGTTTTTTGTATTAGTTATGTTTATTTTTATTTCATAATTGTTTTCATTAATTTCCCATCATAGCGTATGTCAAGAACAACCAAACAATTGAAAATAAACGTTAACACCTTTGGCATAAGTATTTTGTGAGATCAATTATTGCTGTTTTATGACGATGTGGTTAGATGTGGCTGTCAGAAATTCATAAAACAATAATCCTATAGACTTACGATATACACCGATTAATTATTTAGAAAACTAAATAATCAGTATTCAGTAGTTTGTTTTAAACTCATTTAATGTAATTCACTGAAAAACGGTTTTTTTTCTTAATGCAAATAAATAACAATGGGGCTGATCGTATATATTATACTACCTACTTACAGCATCCATTACGTGATTGTGTATACTATTTGAATTTAAATTTAAAAAAAAAGTTGACGAGATTTGTAAATAAATTTAACATTGTAAATGCACAACAAATAATTGTGTCATTATATTTCCGTAGAAGAATGTTTATGGCCAAGTCGTCGAAAACTTATATGTTCGTGTTTTCCTATTTTATATAAGGTATATTGGGGAGCTTTACTCACGACAAATACGTATTAAGAGACAATCACCGAACCATATGGAAAGATTACACCATTTTTTTTTTCAATCGTTGATTGATATCCACGATAATTGAATTGTAACGAGATGTGAAATAAATACCTATGGGATTTGGAAAGATTTAGAATCGATGAAAAATTTATCAGGGAAATCCGAAAATTCCGATAAAATAATAAAAGCAGATTTATTTACACACACACATTGTACAGTAACATATTATTTTAGAGCATCGACGATAAATATTATTTTATTGGACACAAAATCCCAGGCGATAACGTAGAGATGAATAAACATTTCTTGGAATAAAGAATGCTGGTATTTGCTTTATTATAATATTGATCGAATAATGTAAAATAAATGAATCAATTGACAACAATATAATAATATAATGGTTTGGTGAGTTTCTATTGCATTTATACAAGGCAATTGTTACGTATATGCATGCTCTTCCCGGTTTTTGTTTGCTCCACCCGGTGCCATCGACCCTTAATCCGGCCATGCACACAGTATTATTATGGTTCGGCTACAGTATATAATATTTGGTGTAATATGTCGAAGACAGTCTGTATACATCCGACACACGCACTTCGTGTGTCTCATTATATATAATATAAGTCTCGCAATTGTCTCGGGATCGCATATAATACACGCGCTAACCGTTTACCAATTTCGCGTAATGTGTACGGTCAACAGTATATATAGGTACCCCCCAAAGGGCAATCGATTACAAATGGACCCTGTGGCGTCTATTGTTCTAATATTTGATCGAGATAATATTATATCCTTTATTTGCGTCGTTGCCCGTGAACGTTCCTCAGCGGGACGTTATGCTGCATGTTATTGGGATTTGACGTTTGAAATGCGTGAAATATTTAATAAAATCGTATACACAATAGCACGCGCGTATACCAACTTTGGTATTTTATAGCGTATAATGTTATACGGTAAACTCAATATATATTTGGACGATATCCAGTCATTCCGACCATCACGCGACACATAATCAATGGGTTGAAAAGTAAAAAAAAAACATAATACAAAATAGTATTACAACTAACGCGAAAGTATAATAATATCATGTTGTTCTGTGGTCAGATCGAATAAAAAACAGCTGTCCATTGTTATTTGTTAATAAATGGATTTTTTTTCCTGTAGGATTAGTGTCAATCGGGAATTTCATGTCTAACTCTTCGACGCGTACAACTGGTGATTAAAATCGACCTGATAAAAATAGGTAGGTATACCTATACTACGTTGCCACGTCGGTACTTCACAAATTAATTTCCAAACAGACGGGTTACAGCTGTTTTAGACTTGATTTACGTTCCATCGACTAATATTCAATCGTAAATATGTTTATAGAAAATACTCAGAAACGTGTACGACGATGTTGTTCTTGTTTTCAAACTTTTAAACTTTAAGTATCCAATTTAAATGACTTTGGAAATCAGAAGTTTACAATAAGAAGCAAACATAATATTATCATGTTTTCACTATTGCAAAAACTATCAAATCAGCACGAACTTTGTAATTTAATTCAAATGCCATAAACGCAATATTGTTCGTACATATAACTCACGTGTATAGCTCATAATTGTGTACGTGTGTGTAACACACTTTTGAGGTAGGTACCTATATAAATCGTACACGATCAACGAGATTAAATTGCGCCATTTTCCGTTTTAATGTGTTTTTAAATTATGGCGTTTTGTTAAGCAAGAATCTTGAGATTCATTTTATAAATTAAGTATGTATTGAACGTTTTTGTGGTAGGTATAAGATAGCGAAAATTAGGTCAACGTTTTTATTGTATTTATCTTTCTATTTAACTTTTGTTTACCAGTAATTTCATTATTTCTCATTTTGGAATTAGATTAATATTTGAAACCGTTTGGTTAATGTGAATAGAAAAATAACTGATAATCATAAATATCTTCTCAGACATAGAATTACTAAAAGGTTTTTAAAACTTCTAAAGTTTTCTTCAACTGGAATTTGTGGTCAAACTAAAACCATAAATGGTAGGTTAGGTTATACATATTATATTTTGCTCGTATTATAATCAATAAATACTTAATATACTTTCTGATATAATAGGTTAATTATAATATTTAAATCTATTATAATAATTGAAATTGCATGCTACGTTGATATAATAGTTCTTAATAATGTGTGATTCATCGAGTACCTATTTACAAAAAAAAATTAAGTTAAATAATCCACTATGATGTAAAACTATCTACCTTGATAAAAATATTTTTTCTACCCCTCTCCGGGGTCTTAAGATGATTTGTTTGATTGGCGATTGCATGCCATACAATTATATATCTATATTTTGACATACCTAATTTTTCATAATTTTGTTTTATTTTTTAATTTAAAATAAAATGTAAAATGTAGTTGCGATCATCAGTACTCACTCCGAAGTCTGAAAATGTTAGAAAAGTTATATTTGTGTATTTTTTTATCTCAAGAGCATAAACTGCATGGTTATTAGCCTATTTTTACTATAGGGGGCTACGGTTAGTTCGGAACGCGTGTATGTGTGGCGAGGATATTTGTCGGTAAGCCCCGGGTGGTCACCCATACGGGAACTAGATAGACTGGCTGATGCTTGATCTCAGAACACATTAGTGACCGAGGCCAACCACCGTGCCACACTAAGTCACACCAAGCCACTACTTAAATTGTATTCTAATGTATAGTTAATTATTTCAAAATGTAAAATACACATTTTTTGTTATGCTTATGTACAAAAAATACAAAGCAAAAAAAAACAACAAGAGAAAATCTCAAGTACCTATTCTATACTTCTGATGCAACCTTTAAGTATTTGGCTTTTAGTAGCTGTATCACGTGTAGAGAAACTATATAATATGATAAGTATAAATATGTATAATATATATATATATATATGCTATTTCAATTTTCATGATTAAATGTTTCGGAAAGTTTCGTGAAAGAGCTAGTATACAGTGGTTTTGAAAAAATAAAAAATACATAAAATTTTATGGTTCTTGACCGACGGTTAGGAGATCTCAATTATGTAAAACGTTCATCTTTATAATCAATCTGCAATAGAGTTAAGCGGTCGTCGGACTCGGGATATATACACACATAACTACACAATACGACGGATTTTTGAATTTATGTGCAGTCGACAGCAGCTGGTTTAATTTACGCTATTAAAGTTTATAAACTAAACGAGGATACAAAATTCCCGACCAGGTCGCCCCAAAAACAATTATGGTTATCGTTATTTCGTAATATTCAACCACACATGTTTCAGACAGTCGTATACTGGCATAAAAACCACTCGCCCTTCTAGGTAGTTATTCAATTGCATTATTATTGTGTGATACGTATGAAGAGGGTCTTCATACGTACCACTCAATAATAATAATGTATAAATAGCTCCTAGAGTAATATTTAATCAATTGTATGACAGCCGAAGAAGATGACGGAAATTCAGGATCGCAACATAAAAATATAACACACCACAAAATGACTGGAAAAAAAATAATAACTATAAAATCACTTTTACGCATCGATTGCACTCGTAAAACGTTTGACGGCCTGGATGCAATATATAATGATCGCATGTCATGAGAAAATAAATTCCACAATCATAAATCGCTTATCTATTTATTTTTATTTTACCCGTCAGCCGTCACTAGGCACAGTAGTAAAAGTTATTGGGATTTTGAGTTTCTTTAACCAGCTTATCAGGTGACTGCACATACTGTCGAGTATATAGCTATTAGTGGATCAGACGATTATCATAAAATTGAACGCGTCTGATATATATACGTCAGTGGATTTGTACGACCCTCGTCGATAGTCGTTTCTGTAGAGTGTCAGAATCAAGCCTAGCAAAAGTACAAAAAGTGTGAGGTAAACGTATACAACATTCGAAAGTCACAATAAATATTTGCTACCCTTTGTCGAATGAATACTATGTTAATATTAATGTGATAATTCAAATATCGAGATATGTTTTCAAGTGCATTTCGTTAGAAATGCAATTGGTCGTTTTATCGTATAAACTTTGAATAACGGCGACCGATATTAAAAATATTTATGAAAGAACCTCCGATTAATTAATTAACTACAAAAGATATCTCGTGTAAAAAAGATTTTATACACAGCATATTTTCTAATAAACAATATACGTTTTATACAATATAATTTTTATATTGCATGTTTAATAGTTAGTTCGATAGTAGACAGTTCGTTAAAAACCTTTTTAATTATTAAAATACATATTACGTAGACAATATTATAAGTTATAATGTTAAAAATTGAATGAAATATTGTATTATATTTAAATTATATTGTAATATCGACCAACAATTTTCCGCTCTTCACTTTTTTCTTGCTAATTCCGCTCGTTTTCGTAATCTTAACTATAATTTAAAATAATATGTTTCAGATTTTCCAAATTCACGTTGTACAATATTACATTTTACAAAAATGCTTGTATATAATTGATACAATATCTGAAACGTATTTCTCTTAGTATATAGTATTAATTATTATTAATAATAGTTCATCAGATTCTTTATTAGGTATATATCATTATATTACTATAACTATCATTATTTGACAGAATATATTAAAAACCATTAAGTTACGCCATCTTAAAATAATATACGATATCAATATAAATTGCCAACAAACGGTTAAAAAAAGCCTCTGTCAGTTGTTACTGCTACAACACCTATTACTCAGCACGGGCTGTTGTTTAAATATAATATAAGGGTCATCGTAAAATAAAATCACGTTTTATATTATTAAATGTTTCATTTTGCATATTTTTACATGTTTGTGGGAGTTTTGAACATATTTTTCAAACTACAGTTGTTTATACTGGCAAAATTGGCAAAATTTGATAAAGTCGTAATTATATTAGTGTACAAAAAATACGTGTCAGGAAGCTATGAGAGCGTACAGATAACAGTTAAATTTGAAAAAAAAATAGAGGTTATTGTCATTGGTATTATTGTATTTATAATAACAATAACATCGATCCTGATTATCACCCACCCAGTACAGAAGTGAATAGGTACCGGAATGGTGGTGGTGGAAATGGTTTAATTGATCGATATAATACAAACTTAACATATATTAATATACATTTTGATGTGCTTTAGAAATGTTGTTACCGTATAGTGCATACCATAATTATAGTAGCTTTTGACCTTAAAAATACGGTAATTACCGTATACCCGATTACACGTGGCGGTGACTTCGAACTACCGCAGCACACCTACTTGCCAGAGACACAGAATATGTACATACCTATATAATACATTAATACAGAGCACCAGACGAGGGATAAAGGGAAGGACTGTGTACCCTTCTACTTTAATTTTGTACTCCTTGCTACACTAAACGATATTCAATAACAAATGTAAATTTTTTTTTTATATAAACCCATTCAAAATTGAATTTGCATTTTAGTAGGTAATCACACACACACACGTCACACACACACACACATGTTTTTTCACCATTGTAATCACCTATAATTTTGTCAATGTTTTTAATTTATTATTAAAAATAAAAACTAAAATAATATATTAATGTTTATATTTTGGTTTCACTTATCACGATTTTTATGATACCACACGTCCACACCACAGAATATATGATATTATATTATATATTTTGTATCTACATTTTAATTCAAGATGTAGATAATGTTATAATATTATTATAATATAATATTATCTACATCGTGCTTTAATTATATGTATAACGACTTTCGTAACTAGTATGCACTTCGATCACACTACAGTACATAGTATGAACCATCATCCATGTATACATTATATCTATGAACATGGCAGTCAAAAGTCTTTATCATAAAAAAAAAATATGGCTAAACATTTAAGTCAGCAACGGTTGTCAACGCGCGTTAATAACGTGAGGAGATTTGACACAGCGTAAACAGTATTCACTTTAAAAAATAAATAACGTTCAAAAAGACTTTTGACTTCTACAATAATTATAACCATCGGACATTTAAGATACGTTTTCGATATTTTGCGGTCGGGAAAAAATTTCGATAGGTAGAAATAAAAACGGCGTGTGAAAGGAGGGTTATACGCAAGTGGGTGAAAGGCGATAACTCTTTAAAATCGTAGAATTCTCCCTACAACCTCCAGAAAACAATTTCTTTCACCGATATCCGATTTTAGTATAGTAAAATAATTTACAACTTGAGCGATGTGGGAAATTGACCGTGATTTCTTGGATTCGTATTTGGCCAAGTTTTTGTGCAAGTCCAAACTATGGTTGCGATACGTTTCAAATCATTCTGGATGATATTGACTGTGGGGCTCGTCATAGACTCACATGATTCATTTCTTAAAATGAGTCACAAAACATTTTGTCTAATATGAAAATAATCTAACATTATTGTATGATATTATTACCGTGTTTCACACTTAAGGTCTGTTCTACATTGTACACGATAAGTAATTGAAATAATGCTTCAATTTTCGACTTCAGTATCTTTTCTAGTGGGAAAGTGGATTTAGTTGGTGCATTTTGGAGGTCACCATTTAAAATTTCAGAAGTTTCAAAAGTTTTCAAATTTAAAAAAAAAAATCAAGAAATAATTAGAATTTTTATGCAAGTATTTGGCGAAATCTATTTTGGTTTTTGCTTTAATTCTAAAAAAAATGACTGTAGATACATGCAATGTTCACTGAATATTTATATTAGAATTTTCTAGATACCATAAGATTTTCAAAATATTTTAAACTATTTATAAGGATAAGAATTTTTTTTTATTAGTTTTTTTAAGTTGATGCCAGAAAAATATTGTTTAGAGAATTTGAAACTTTTAAAATATATTATTATATTTTGTAGACACAATTACATTTTCAAATGCAATTTTTGCAAAACTAATCTAATAACTATATTGTAGTAGGTATCAATGCCAAATAGTAAAATAAATTACTTTAATCACAATAATATAAAATATTCTTAGTAATATTATAGATTGACAGACTGTCTTCGTTCAGAATAATAGTTTTTCGTATACAACGATTTTATATCATTGAATTCATATTTAACATATGCATTACAGTGACTTCTCTAGATTTCTACTGTACAGCAGAGCGTTACCCATTTGCCGTTATTTTTTCATTTGTTTTTGCATGGTTCTTACAGATTAATTAAAATTCAAATTGTTTGCCACGAGTCTCTTATGACCACATACCCCATCGTATTACATGTAACGCGGTTTGGCTAATAAAGTAAACCAATATATTTTATTATTATTTTTATTTAACTTTATTTGACAGTTAAAATGTTGGACAAAAACCTCATATTTGTTTGAAAATTATTAAAAGGAAAATGTATTAATACAGCTTGTATGATTGAAAATAGACAATATGGGAAGTATAATATATTTTTGTTAAAATGAGAATATAATTTGGATGTTGAAGAATTTAAAAAGGAACAATGAGTGTTGGTAATTGAGGGCAATTAAAGATAAAGTAGGTAATGTCACAAATCATAGAGTTTTTGTGGAGTGAGCAGATGGGGAGTCGTTCAATAAAAGTTTAAATGATTGAGAACGATGTTATGTATTTTCTAGAGAGATTAAGGTTGTGAAACCATGGTTGGGGATGTTTATCTATACCAGTGTTTATAATTTTTAAATATGTAGGTATTTTATCTATTTGTTTATCACATCGTTTTAGCCGTTATATAGGTACAGGTGTAAAGTCTATTAACCCAAATGGGATAAAATATGTTTTATCGTATACTGATAAATACCGAAGCCTTTAGGTATCCGAAGTGGTGGAAGGATTTCATCTTTTGACTCGGTATTTCTATATCCTACTCATTAGTGCTCACCTGGACCTCGCCGGGCATGTTTCTGGTGCTATTGATGAGGTGCCGCGCCATCATGGTGTAGAAACACGCAATGGCGGATAGAGGAACCACGTAGTAGACCAGGAACCGGACGACGACGATGAACCGCGGATAGGCAGGTCCCAGTTCCTCGGCGTACGGATAGCACACCTCGAACAGCGTCACGTTGTCCTGCCGGAACTGTCGGACGTACGAGTTGGTGGCCGCGGGCACGGCGCACGCTATCGCCAGGCACCATATGGTCACGGCCACGGTGACGGTGAACTTGGTGGCCCGCCGGCCGCCCACGGAGGCGTGCAGCTTGCGCATCGGGTCAACGATGGCGAAGAACCGGTCAGCGCTCAGGGCGGTCAGCGTGAACACGGTCACGCCGATCGATATGTCCTTGGTGGTCTCTGACACCTTGCAGATGGTCAATCCGAACGGCCATGACGGCACCTGTGGGACAACGGTACACAAAATATTATTGTTGCATAATAATATAGTGGCACAGTATTTTAAAATTATAATAAATTACTGTCGAAGTACTTAATATTTTATCTAAATAAATTGAATCTTTCGTCTAGACAGATTCAGTCAATAGTGTTATTTTTGTTATCGGGATTCGATACCCTCAGTGACTGATGCATTGGATATATTTTTGGTTCTTAGAAAATCAACAAATGGTCCGGTTTCTTTTCGGTTAAAAAAAAAAAAATAATGTATTACGGTTATAGTAGTGTCACTTATGGCGAATGGGATCCGATTTTCAATACCAAGAAGAGTTTATACAAGAAAAAAATATTTTACTCACCATCACTATTAATGCATGCTTCCCTTTTAAATAATCGTCTTTTTTTTTTGTTATTTATACAGTGAAAATTACACTGTATCATTTATCATAATAAATACCATAAATAGTTACATAATTTATAATCAATTAAGTAAGAATTTGTCTTTATTCTTTTTTTTATCAAATGATTAATTTCGACCTTTATAAAGTGTTATAGATTTTTATTTATATATTATTATAAATTATAGTTAAAATTAAAATTATTAAATGTTTATAATATTTATAATTTTTTGTATAATACATTCATTAAATTGTAATAATCGAGGAGACATAATAAATTTGTATATGTATGTATATTGTATATATTATTAAATGATTGTACGTAAAATATTATATTGTAATTGTTTTGAAATTAGAAATGTAAAAGTTTCCAATTAAGTTCCAGTTTTAAAATTAATAGAAATAAGGGTTCCGGTTACTAAACCGGTTCTATTCAGGATTTGCAAATATAGATCTGTAGATAGTACCTACTCATCAATAACTTGATTTGAATGTATAATTGTAAATTCTATGTTTGATATTGTAGAGTTACAATACGAGTCTTTATCGCGAAAGCACTAACATACTTAATAGGTATCTAATATTAAATATGGTCATATCCGTCCACGTGTACATTAAGTATAATATTTAGTGATGTTATAACTGATTTTTTGGACAAACCGAAACCGGACCGAATTTGTATTGAATAATCGTATGAATTATTTATCTATAATAATTATATCGGGGGGAAGGGTTTTTAGTGACAAATCCTAGTTCCATATACACGTGTGCCACACCAACCGTACCCTCCCCCACAATAAAAAAAAACATCCAATAACCATGCAGCTAAAGCCTTAAAAAAAAAAAATTAATAAATAACTATATTATGACTTATAACTCCAATATTTTATGAGTCCCTATTAAAATTCATACAAGAATATATTTATTCACATAGTAGACATAGCCACTAGCCAGATAGGTATAAGTTATAACTGAAATAGGTAGTTACAGTACAATACATTAAAATATAAAGTATAGTTGCTGGTTTTTAATCGCATTGCTGGTGGTAAATATCCGAAAAACGTTTAATTCCGCCATCCACTTATAACGGATTGCTTACGAGTACAACAGCAACATACTATTTCTTTTTATTCGTACAAAACTTTAAAAAAAATAGCAAAAATAATAAAATTATGTTTTTAATTAATTAAGAAAGAAAAAATCGTATACTATCCAATGATCTATTATTCTATTATCTTCTAAGATTTATATTATTTAATTTAGATCACCGTATATATTCCTCCTTATACGAATAAAAAGGTTTCTGACTGTATCTCGATCTAAGTTTTTTATTGCCCCATTTGGCTAAACCTCACATTCTTACCACACGATATGTGTTCGTGTTGGGATCAACGAAATTGTATACTCTTTTCAGGTTCCATAAAACACTGTGAAATCTGTACTAAATTATATTCGTTAATGATTGATATTATTGTGTGCGTTCTAAAATACGAAACATTCTTAGGTGTACTAGTATATACCACGTAATATCTATAGTGTTTGAAGTATGGGAAATATTTCATGAATTTTCACAAAAACGTGAAACATTGAAAATTTTTTTAACACAAATAAAAACACAATTTATTTATTTTTTAACACAATGTTCAGTGTTCTAAATTCTAATGTCAGAATTCAGTAAGTATACAATATACATGTATAATATTGTATACCTACTTGTATCATTTAAACATTAAAATATTTAAAAATTTTGAATACCAATTTAAATGTATAATATCAAAGGTTAGGTATACATACAGTTACCATATAGAGATGAAGGTAATTTATGACAATTATATGTACATATAAAACTTATTTAAAAATAAAACAAAATATATTAAAATACTGAAATATTTCACATATTTTGAAATATTTCATGAAATATTTCACGAAATATTTCATTTTTTAAAATTTCATGAAATTTTCAAACACTAAATATCTATTGTTGTGATTGAATGCCCAGTATTATATTTTGTTCGGCATACAAAAAGACTTTCATATATTTCTACAATTAATTTCGGATCATCTACAATGGTTGTTATTGTTCTCCATTTGCCAAACATACACAAGTCATTTTTCCAATATCTCGACTACTCCATTTTTTTTTCTAATATCTCATTCATGTTTGCTGGATGACACATAATTCATCTCATGAGCAAAAGAGAATAATATGAAACGTATTGACAATATTGAACCTTAAGCCAATTATTAGAACTAATTCATTTTTCTTTAAGGCAATTTCTCTTTTGAAAACGCTACCGTAATCCGTTAAAAAACAATTAATGGCCACTAGTGAAAATTTTTTTTAAATAGAATCACGGTAGCTATTTTAACCCAAGGTGTTTGAATTCGATTTTTGGATTGAAATTTTTAACGAGCACTGGAATAAAAATACGTATTTGAAATTCATAATATGAAGATCGGACAACATATTAATTCTAGGAATCTACGATTATGAATAATGGTGGATAAAAACATACCTGGACATCATAATATTGAATATTATGTTATATTATAATCTGCTTAAAATCATGTGTTTAAATTTAATTTTATAATATTTAGTATTTACTATTGTAACGTATTATTAGTACGTTTTTCAACAATTATTGCGGTCTGTCAGTATAATAAAATATAGTACCATATATGGGTTTGGCTAATAATAAACCTGATCGGTACGGCGATAAATTGTTCAGATATCTGGGAGAGGTAATAACAAACCAGTAGGTGACTATTATACTGAATTAATGGAAATATGCATTTTGTTCTTGTTATATTATTATAAAAGGCCAAATGGGTCAGTATTTTCCGGGACACATTGTGTTTATTTTGACATAAACTCGTTTTTTGTTCTAATCTGAAAATCAATTTTACTCACACTCATCGATAATTGCATTTTATATATACATTATTTAGGTGTAATAAATTATGAATAACTATTATTATACATAGAATGTTACAAAATATAATTTATTTATTATATTCATATATTTATAAATGGAAAAATATTATGTACTAATAGCTACCATAAAAAAACGTTTTGACCATTACTTATTTAAAATTAATATTTTAATATATTCATTATTTATATCCTATTTTATATTTATTTTTAATGTATTGTTGTATTCTACCTTAGACAATCGTAAAATTGTAAATTAAAGCATATATATTATATAGTATTAATGTAGAAATATAATTTAGCGAATATGTAAATTATTATTCAGTCCAATGAAGCTAAAATATGTTCAGGGGATACTATAATATTTGTGCATATGACATAACTACATGCGCAGGCACGAAGCAGTTGTACTTTTTTCAACTAAAGTTAATCAGAAATATTTAAGATTTATTTTGTTTTTTAGCGTGTAATTGAGAATCAGTCAATTTACCCAAATTCATATTATGTGTAAATGAAATAAAAAAAGTTCCCAGGATTTTTAAAATGTTGTTTTTATATTTGAGTCCATAGGAAATTATTGCGTATAGAAATAATATCTGTCAGGTTTATCTCAACAAATCATTATTTAATAGTTTAAACATATTTATATATTTATATATAAGCATATAGACGAATACATCTTAATTGTATTCAATATTCATGTATGTGTTTCAGGTAAATATTTTAACAAAAAAAAAAGAAATAACTTACTAAATTCATATTTTGTTACAACAAACTTCACATAAGTAATTCTTTATGAACGCAAAAAAAAATAACAGTTTCAAAATCCTTGGAACTTAATTTATTTTATGTACTCATATGAATTTGGGTAAAATAAAGTAATTTTTATTCGCAAGCTAAAAATTAAAAAAATCTTAAATATTTTTGAATAATTTCAGAGGGTTGAAAAAAATAAATGATAATACATATTTAAATATAGGTATCTTCCTAATATCATTTATACATCTACAATAAAATAATAATAAATAACAATTTGAAAACGTTGTTTTTACTTCCAAAAAAAAAAATATATATATATAGTTTCATTGAAAATAAAAATCATCGGACCTACAACTTTCACTTTGATATAGTTATAAACAAGTTGAAATTAAACGTATGATTACGACATTGTATATTTTACTTAAGGAACTTATGCTAAAGAGTTTCGACATTTTTTTTTTTATTTTTTTTTTTATATGGGACTTTTGAACCTCTAAAATAGAATTTCAGACCACTGTGTGTCGTGGTGGAACTCGACTAGAGCGTAGGTGCGACGGTAACTGTAGCACGGGGTTAGTGTTTTATTTTACGATGGTTTTATACTTGGCATGAATAAAAGTGTTTCTAACCAAAAATTTTGTTTAAATTTTATTTCAGGTTTTTGTGGTGAACACCACTTATGGAAAAAGTAACAAGACACTGTTGTAATACTCGCCTTCTCTTCCCGTTTTCGTTATCTTGGTCAGTTGAGAAAGAGTATGACTTTGTCTATATTAAAGAGATCTCCCCCTCGAACATCCAGTACTCGTTATCGTGGTCAGTTGTTCGAGAGTAAAGCAGCCTTAGAGTTACAGAGTATAAATCCTGTGGGACCGTGTTAAATCATCCTTTTGTGCAGTACTCGTTATCGTGGTAATCAAAAGGAGAATTTAAATAAGCTTTTACCACAGGTGTCGATATTTACTCATTTGACGGTTTGGGAATCGCCTTTGGGTGGCTTATATGACAGTATGACATAAAGCGTATTTTATTATTCTATATTTTGAATATTTTATATAAGTAATATATTGCTATAAAAGACAATCGCTAAAAAATAAATAAACAACTGTCTGAAAATTATATATCTTAATGTACATTATTAACTTAAGGGCTTAAAATATGGATTTAAGTTGTTTAACAATATAATAAGTAATAGTATATTAATATACTTGAAGCTAAATGTATTAATTGGAATCTACATTCTGAAAATCTTAATGACAGACCACATTCTTATAAATATAAATATACTTTTGAAGTATGTCAATTAAAAATATGTAAAGCTGCCTACTTTTATAATTTCTTAATGCAATTATATTTAAGTTGAATGATATTTGAAATATAGATGGGAATAAATCAAAAAAGAACCTCTTGGCAATTTGTCAAGCAGATACAACTTCTTAAATTTATGGTTTAATTAATAATTCTAAAATATCTCTATATTTTTACAAATATAATTAATTATCAATTTATTTATTTTTATATTTATTTCATTTTACACATTGAATTATAAAAAATGTAAAGAAACATTAAAAAAATACTTGTCTCATGGTATAAATAATTCTCCTACTTAGAAAACTTCAGTGGTTTAGTCTGTTTTAATCAAATTTTGTACGCACCTATTAGAGGATTTATCTTGGTATTGCCATTTAATTTAAATACAAAAAATAGGACTGTGATTTAAACAAAACAGATGTGTACTTATAAGTCAAAATCCTGATAAAAACTCTCTACTTAAAAATTATTTATTTAATCGAGCATCATGATATCAATAAATGGACTAATATGAAAATAACATATTTTTTTAGTCTTAAATTCAGTAAAAATAGTATCTTTGAATATAAATATTTATTTTATAAGAGGAAAATTACTTTATCCAAAATTAAACGAAAAATAAAAACTCTAATCGACAGTCAACTTATTTAATTTAAAATTTGTATTGATATTATAAATAAATGAGTTTTTATTCTATTTAATGATCGGTATGAAGAAATATTAGTCTGTGATTAGAATATCAGCCAAAGAATATTTTTTGTAAGTAGGCACAGCTGCATGTAATAAAAACGCATAGGTATTTTAAACTCTGTACCAAACGCTTTAACAGGCGGAACGGTGTATTGTATTAAGCCAATCTCAGTTATAAAATATTATAATCAATCAAAAACAATATTTTATACTCCACTACATTACACTACTCCCCTAAATCGATAATGGATTTCCAGGCAAGTAAATTTGACTATCTATTTGAATGGTCAACTATATTCTTTGATATAATTCGAATTTTTGCTCACTCCAACTCATAAAACATGGACGCACGTTAAAGGGGGGGAAAATTTAATGTAGGTATGTTTATTAATTTTAACATTATTTTATGCTGATTGTTAAATTATATAAAGAGTGGCAATTAATTATTTTTTAAATTCTTTTAAATTGTTTATAATTGTGTGCACATGTGTACCTATATTGCCTATACGTTTCGCCGTGTAACATATTTGTAAAAATAAGCCGAACAAAATACGATAGTGATTAATGGTTAATGGTTTTTATCATACTGGTTTTTAGACAGTTTTAAAAACGTCGTTTGTCTTAAAAAAGGTAAACCGTATTTTGTATTTGTAAAAATATTTATGCGTATAATAATAATAATATATTAATATTATATATCAATATAATACTCGGATATTAAGTTTTTCGTTATTATGAATTCTAAACATTTTTAATATACTTAATTAAAATCTTAGTTATTTTTTAACGTTTGTTAATATTGTAGAGTTATAAGCTAAAGTCCATGATTCAATAACTATTATTATTATAAAAACAAAATATAGTTTCGAGACACATGCCGATACACTGTAGCCTATTTAATCGTTTTTTTGCATGCATGAGTGATGAGTGACATGACTACATGTTTTAAATGTTTTAATAATTATAAATTATATAAAAAAATCTAGTAAACTAAAAAAACTTTGGTTTCAGACTTTTGGTCATAGTCTAATTTTCTCTCATCGTCCCATCGGAGTATAATAAGAGCTCATATAGCCAGCCATACTATAGTTAACTACTGCCGATCTATGGGAAAACAGTAACACGCGTATATAACCGAACCAACTCTCATTTTTTTCAAGTCACAGCTACATTATCCATACTCATTGTGAACAGTTACTGCTATCATAACTCAAACATGCACACTTCTGCATTTAAGTAACTGTACAATTGTATTGGCGGTATAAAGAGTATACCACGCGTATAATACACTTTTATATCAAATATTTATAATTATAAATAATAATATATTGACAAGCATACGAGATATACACACTTAATCCTTATAGTTTATAATTTTGAATGATATTTAAAACAAATATTTTATCGTATTATCATTAATATTATGTTAAGACTAAGGAATAAACATACCGTGTAGACGGTAGACGTGAACGGTATGCAGCTCAACAGGACCAGCAGATCGCCCAGCGCCAGACTGAGTATGTATATGTTCGGCACGTTGATCATGTGCCTGTGCCGGATGAATATCAACACCAGAGATCCATTTCCGATGGTTCCCACGAAAAATATGAACGCGAATAGTACCGGAACTATGTACGTTTCCGGTCGCGCCGAGTAGTCATACTCCTCGACGGCTAGTGTGCTGTTGGAAGTATCGTTGGCAACAGAGTTGCCACCGTCCATAATTATTCAAAAGCTGGCTGTCAACTGTTGGACATCAATACGGCCATCATCTGAATCAAAAATAAAAAGTTATTAATGATATTACCAATAAAGCTAACATTAGGACACGTAGTGGCTGGGCTGTGATGAGGGTAGGTGGCTAGGAATATTCCCAGTTTAAAAACTAGGGATCACAAATTGTCAGCAATGTTCAGCAGTTTTTATAACTGATAAGAAGCCATAGAACGGGCTCTACAAATTATTAGGTTTATTTGAAATAAAATATTATTAAATTTATTTTTAAAACGAGATGTAAATCAATTTAAGTATAATATCTCTTACACAAATATATAATACTGTATACGATAACATTTTATATACAATATTTTCTTCTATATTGCGCTATGATTTTTATTTCTAATATTTTTTTAAAATTTAAAAAAAAAATTAAATTATACAACTATTTTTACATTGCAGTTGAAATACTATAAAGAAACATTATTCTTCAAAGAACGTTTACATAATCTGTATAATATGTGAGACGTGCTCTATCGTTCGAGCAACCGTGAAATTATGGGTTTAGTTATCTTGAAAAGTCTGCATTTGTTTATTATTTGATTCAGTATCCTACAAAGTACGGGTCAGATATAAAAAAAAAAAAACATAAAAGTAGTAGCACTAATACAATATTGAGTTTAAGATTCAACTTTATTTCTCAGGCCACTCATGGTGGAGTGGCCATTTGGTTAGTGGGTAAAAATGTAAAATAGACACCACGCACTTCGAGCAATATCATCGATTCTATTACCTACAACCCATATGATATATTATATATTATAATACGATTATTATAACATATCTTATGTAATAATAATTAACTGGAAGATAGACCAAGCAGGCTCACCACAAATGTTTCCGGTTTGAATATATTCAAATTCTCTATTTTGGAATTTTTAAGTATATTTTAGCACCATATTTTCAACTGCTAGATTTTTTTTTACACAGGGGTCATCTCTTTAACGGTATAAAAATAAAAATAGTTTAAAATACGATCCTTAAGTATGCTTGAAAATGTCATGAATCCACATTTGAATAATAATTTAAGGGGAAAATGGGGTGAGCATGCTTGGTAAATCACCTTGTATAGCTGCAGGTGTGTCGAACGACATTTAGATGGAACATTAGCTTAAGATTCAGTATTGAAAATATTATTTCATATTTTGTTATGCGTATATATTTTATTGTTTATTGCGAATTTTATATTCTATGGTTGAATTATTGGAAATAACATTTCCAAACGATTCGTGTTCCTACATATTTATATTGCCTTATATTTAATTTAAAAGGAGTATCTAGTACCCTGACTTTAGTGGCTTAGTAGTATGGTTTTAAACTTATATATATATTATATAGGTAGGCATTATTTATTTGTCGAATGAGTAATGATTGTTAAAAAAAACAAAGTTGAACAATCTTAATTCATTTGTTTATTTGTGAATGCTTTAATGCTATGTTTTATTAATAAACTAAATTGGATATTTTTATTTTTGATATAATTATTTATTTAATGTATATATATTTTGTTTTTTTCAATTTGTTTTGTATAAATTATAATTTATGCCTTGTGATCAAACGATCCGTGAAGGGGTTAGGATTTTGTAACTCTGTACCAACCACAAAAAATTTAAACCTATTATATGGGTTTCAATAATAATATATATAAGTCAATTTTAATTTTGTTTTAAGTATTATTTGAATTTAAAATTAACGTATGGTCTAAGAATAAAATTATTAATAAATTATTACTTTCAAATTATGTCACTTCAATAAATATCTGGATGTAAAATTATATCTAATTGGATCCTCTCGATTCGTCAACTGTAATTTCATATTATGTTGATATTTTTTATTCTAATAAACTATTAATATCACATAAGTCAAATTAACACAATATTCGCTATTGCGTTCATGTAGAAAGTTCCTTCAATATATTTAAATTAAATTAGTATTGTTACAGTTAAATATTTAAATAATCTTCATATCCATATCGTTTATAGTTTTAAACTCCATATGTCAAGATTAATATATACAGACCAGTTGTGGATTGACTTAATAATAACCAAACATTTTATATTTTGTGATGGAAATTCTATTGAAGTCGTTTTAGGCGTTTTACTATAGTTTTTCAATTACAGCGATACTTTGATTTTTAAAGAAGTTTTCTGTTTAACGATATATTTTTAAGAACCAAAATAATGTTATCTACTCTATTAACAGATTTCTCTAAATTAAGACTTTTTTTTTTTAGCTGGTTACGCTTTCGTAATATGGAAGTTTTGCTGTATTTGAATTTTATAATAGTATTTGCCATTTAGTTATTGAGCTAATTCATAAATACATCACGAAATAATATGTCCAGCAAAGTATTCGTTCCAAAATTTGAATTTATAGAAACACTTTAAGTATGTCTAAAAATATACATTTAATCAACAATGTTTTAATACTACATTATTAAAATAATTTATTTTATTTTAAAAGTCATAAATTATAATTATCTACTATTTTAAAACTAATAAGAAATGAATATTCTTTATAATCTAAGGATAATATTATATATACATATACATAGATTCAATAGTTTGATTCTGAATTTATTTTAAAGTCAACTTAATGGTTTGAAAAATGTCTTAATATTCCTTTTTTGTATTAAGTCATTTATGATATGATTTATGATTAAAGTGTTAGTATTTTAAAGACTATGCCAAACATCGATTTTCATGTCCAATATATTATATTTGTCACACGTGAACCATATCAAAATGGTATTTTGGATGGCAGCCAAAATATTGCTGTAAATAGTTCATTATCTCTATCCAATTAATTGATTCAATTTCTATTAAGTGGTAAAAATATAATCGTTTAATAAAAAAAATACATAATATAGAAAACGACAATATTAAAGGTTACTAACAAAATAAACTTATTTGATAATAGATCAATGTCTGTATACTTTAATTTATTAACTTTTCACTTAGAATTTAAGTATAAAAGAAACGTATAAAATAAACAACGCTATACATTACAGCCACACATTGCACATAATTATTCATTGAATATTTACTTTTAATTTCTTCAGGAGAGTTGTAATCATTAGTTAAAATTTTTTTTTATAAACCAACCTTAATGTATGATATTTTCAATGGTCAATGACTTCTAAGATTTATTACGTTAAGCTGGGTTCACACTATACAGTGTCGTGTAAAATAATAATGGTTACCACAGTTACCAAGCGATGTTTACTAAACAATTTTTATGGTTTGGAACGGTACTAGTTACCATCTTGATATCCATAGTATTAACCGTACCGAACCGTAAAAATTGTTTGGTAACTGTGGTAACCATGATTACTTTACAGGACCCGGTATAGTGTGGACCCCGTGTAGTGTGAACCCAGTTATACTGTATAAACAGAAACTATATTATATTATGGTAGAGGTATTTTTTATATAATATACACATTTGTTGGTATTTCCCGTATTGATATTGAAAGGTGGAGTCACTTGAGTTAAGTTACACAGATACATCCAGTATAAGTTTTAATTAATTTGCGAACAATTTAGAAATTGTATCGACTGTTTAATTTCCAGTTTTTAATATGTACGTAAAAATAACATAAAAGTAATGACAGATATTATGTTAATCCAACAAATACATTTTATATTACAATTAGGTAAAATAAAGAAAAATACTAATAATAATTAATGATTAAAGATGATAGCTAGTTATTATTTTATTATATTTGAGGGTTCAATGGAAACATGGGAATTGGGAACGTATTTTTAAATTAAGAAACATCAATTAGCAATATATTTTTGGAATTCAATTAAAAATTCTAAGACTTTTATTAAAATAAAAATGGGAGCTGGAAGTTGATTGTGACTGACTGTGACATACTGACATAACTGTTAAAAACAATACATTTTTGGTAGACATCATAATTTCGTTTAATATTTTACTCAAATAACTGTCTGGGGGACGGAGTGGCCGAGCAGACTAACGCGTAGGTTGCGACCCGCATCGTCTCCGGTTCGAACTCGGTCAAGGGTGGACAATTTTTCTTCATCCAGTCACGGTGTCCTTTGGGAGAGGCCGACATCCCCAACCTGGGCATGGCAGATACCTACGGGTGCCCACTTAAAAATTCTACAAAAACAAACACACACGTATTCAAAACCACAGTAAACTCCCCCACAGTTCCACAGGCTAATGACCTCAACCCCCCCCCCCCAAAAAAAAAAATTGTCTACGTAATAATAATATAACATTATAACGTATTTATTATTCCCTTTAAAATTAATTCTACTCTGTTACCAATGCTCTATTTATAACCACCATTTAGTTTCAACAACATTATTGTTAATATTTGTTATAATGCATTTTATTAAAATATAATACTTGCACGCTCCGTGTACCTACGAACAATGTCTAACCTAGTTGGTGACATATTATATAATATCATTTATTTTATAAATTATTTTAATTAACTAATATTTTTTTTAATTGAAATATAATATAATATAATGTATTTCAATTTAAATGAAAACAGTAAAGCCGAGGTCCATTCCAAGTTCTGTTGTAAAATGATATAATATTTTATTTGTGTGATAGTTAATGAAATATAAGTAGATAATATCTTGTATAACGTTAAACTGAATAGTATACTATTATTATACATTACACTTTATAATCAAACCAATAGTTATTACCTCAGTTCCAAAATTGAAGAACTAAAATAACCTATTAATACTGGCTTATGAGTACTACCACCAACCACCTAAAAATATGTTGCGGCAGTAACAATTCGAAATAGGGTTTGGCGCCACGACTGTGTTAAAATGAATATTTATTGAATAAATAAAAAACAATTTGTGAAATTCATTAAATTTAAAACAATATTGCGCGCTAAAGAAATTAATACATTTCAATTTATTTTTGTTAAATTGAAATTTATGTAAAAATAC